TTTGATATATCGATCTGAAATTTAGCACACATCCTTTACTCATGAAGAAGAAGCCCACTTGTTTTAATTGCTGAATACGGATCAATGTTGGACTAACTTGTCTTAAAAACTGAGAGAACAAAATGAAGTCTTTATATGAAAAATTTTTTTATTTATCAATATAACTTTACAAAATTCGGCATGGAATATTGCCAAGGGAATGGCTATAATGGCAAATTGTGTAAATCGGACTACTATAGCATATAGCTAACATACGAACTAACCAATCGAATCTCAAGTGCTTGCATGGAAAACTTTTTAATTTGACAATATATCTTTACTAAATTTGGCTTGGATTATTACCTAAAGTAAAGGTGCAATTTTTGTAGAAATTGGTTAGATCGGACTGTTATAGCATATAGCCGCCATACAAACTGGCTGATCAAAACCAAGTTCTTGTAAGACAACTTTTGCATTTGCGAATGATATTATAGCTTCGATGCAGCCAAAGTCAATGTTTTGCCTCGATTTATTTGCGATGGACATAATAAGAATATTTGCAACAGAAATCAAAATATTTTCTTGTTCTTTACAATATTTTTATGTTAAAAGTACACTAATGTGTATTATGTTAATTATTGAGCATATCTTTCGCTAACTGTAGAAAAACTGCCTAAAAAAAAATAGATTTAAATTAGATAAAAGTGAAAATATTACACTATTCAACATTTCATTTCTTTACATCATGAACCACTCACAACTAATATTTCCACCACGACTGTAGTGAATAACACCCTTCGCAAAATTTTGCGCACTTCTTTCCCCACAGCGACACACTGCTGCCGCACCGCTCGCTCACAGCCGCTATTGCTGTTGTTGTACGTCGATAATTGATTAGTAGAAACCTTCAGCAATCGTTTGCCATTGCCACTGCGACTGAGCTTTGCTTTAACAATCGCATATATAATTTCTATTTGCACAAACCTGCATCGATACCGACACAGGCAAACGTGTTTCTGATTTCAGCATTTGCTTTTGTTTCACCTCGTTATTTATTGGTTTTACTAGCTTTTATTGTCTATTTGTGCAACTGCCGCTCGGTTTTTATGCGCTGTAGGTGTTTGTTGTAATTGCGAAATGCGAAATGCGATGGGCGGTTCGATTTTATGTTTTTCGGGGGGAGGCTAGTTTGGAAGTGAGTTTCACTGCGGTTGTGTCAATTTGATTTCCATAATTTATTGTCGAGTGCAGGTTATGCAATGAACAATATTTGCTTGGTGTTTGAAAATACTTCCATAATCATTCGGCAGCGGAAATCGGTATATGTATGATGTTTAATATGTTCATATACTATATTACATACCAACTATACATATGTTTCATCTAAGGTCTGAATGTAATTGCTGAAATAACATTAGTAAAGATTTTTTTTTTTTTAATTAGATTGGGATGGAATTGGCGTTCCTGACATCTTTTTAAACTTTGTCTATTGAAGTTATTATAACAATTTCGAAATTATATGGCAGAACTTCATTACTTTTCAAGAAAATTTTAATTTAAGATTCAGTTCTAAAAAATAGATTCTATGAAATTTTAAAAATTTCCAAAAAAAAAAAAAATACTACTAAGCTCATATTAATCTCTATATGACAGTCCTAATAGAGCACTTATGAGAAAGAAGGTGAAATATCTAATCTTTATTAATTTTTAATTAGCAGCAGATCTGGAAGAATCTCAGTATTTTATTGATATTATGCCATTTCATGTTTATAGTGACATATTTTGATAAAATGTTGACATCAGGGCTAACATCTGAAATGTAGAGTTAAGGAAGGTCGCCAAATTTACATCATATTACAACTTTATGGTAACAGCGGGATGCATGAAATCCAGCCACAATCAATGAGAGAGGCAAAGGCAGGTGGAAACGAACCAACCTATAGGCCTATATGCTTAACTTCCATCCTGCTGAAAACGCTGGACATGCACATTAGGAACGCATCGCCTCCTGGATTCTTGTCCAAGGCGCAAGCGCGAGCAGCAGATAAGTAAAGACTGCACTACATACACTGGTTTTTAATATCGAAAGGGCTCTTTAATATAAGTAATACGCTCTTGGAGTATTCCTGGGCATTTGCGGAACGTTCAACAACGTCTCTGCGGAATCTATTATGAATAGTATCCACTCAATAAGTATTGATGCTGGGTGTCGGAAGTCTTTTGATCTCTAGAAGGATGCGAACAAATTGGAACGACGCTAGAACGACCAAGGAAGTCTGTGGAGGAACTTCTACCCTGAGGTAGTCGTGGTCAACAAACTTCCGTGGAAGCGCAACATGGTGAAAAGAGTGAAAAAAACCAGCAATGCTTTATATGCGCGTAGGGAGATGCTCGACACAACCTGAGGGTTTTTTCCTTCTTTCAAGCACTGGTCCTACACAGCTACATAAGGACCAAGTGGAGAAGAACCTGGCTTCACTTGGAATTGGCGCCACATAGCGAAAAGAAGAAACGACTGGCGCGCTGTTGTTAACTCGGCTATAATCGCGTAAGCGGTGTCGACGCCAATCAAGAAGAAGAAGAATATGGTGGACAGGCGTACAGAAATCCACCTTCCGGAAGAATATGGAAAGAATTCAGAGGTTCGCTGTGCTGTGCATAACATAGATTTAAGAAGAACTGCAACGGCGGCTCTTGAACTGATGCTAAACCTGCCCCCTATAAATCTCTTCACAGAAAACTGCGCAACAAATTTAGCGACCGACTACTGGTTGCAAGAGAATTTACGTATAGAGCCTTCGGGTATAGCTCGGTGGTAAATGCCGTTCGGCAAACACCGACTACAAGATCCCACTTTTCAACTGGGAAAGAAAGAAGGTTCAAAGTTAACATAGCAATATATGGTTAGCGTGTATGCTAACTATGCGCAACAATCTAAATATTTACTATTACAGAGTTCGCGGAGCTGGCATCTAATATCATTGTAGGCATTTCTAGAGTCAACAGCTACGTGGACAATGAAATAGTGAATCAGATTGCCAAGAATTGTGTACGGATAGCATCCGAAAACGTGATCAACATTGGGAAAAGCTCACAAGATCACAAAAAGACATTAACTTCGACTGAATCGAAATTATAAGACTTCTCACAGGTATTTGGTATTAGGTCTTCGACAATTCCTTCTGGGTATTATGAAATTCAAGTCAATACTATTAAGTAAAATTTGTTAAATTTGTCGTCGTTGCGTTATGTAATTATTGAAATACATATTTATTTCATGAAAGTAACAAAAATTTCAACGACTGCTGCACGTTTCGAAGCATTAAGGCTTCAGGGCATTTAATTTGTATTCAAAGTATTCACCACCAGATGTAATAAACGTAAACCGACGATTTTTGTACCTCTCGCACACTTTTCATTAGCACTATTTGTGATGGGCACCAGCTTGTTTAGCGAATTTTGTGCTATCTCTTTGACTGACTAAAGCCGGGTTTAACAGAGCGGCAATTTGGGAAAATAAGAAGAAATCACACGCAGTCAAATCTGGTGAATACGGTGTTTTATCGATGGTATTCGTTGCGTTTGCGTTGCGATTTGATGTGTAAAATCCATGAATTTCGATCGCTTCCGAGGGATGTTCTCGCGTTTGCCCCTCAATACGGGCAATTATAACTACTTTCTCCGGAACAAATTCATGATGCACCAAACCACGAATATGCGAAAAACAATGAGCATGATCTTGATTTCATACCCTAAATATCTACCAAAATCATTCGAGCAGACTCACAAGAGATGCTGAGCTCTTTTGCCGCGTGTCTAACACTTGCCTGACGGTTTCCAAGCACCTTCGCTTTTTTTTTTCAATTTCATCATATATATAATTTCATATAAGATTGGATAATGATAGAGTATAAAATAAATTCCACAGTAAATATGGACTTCTGAAATATATCAATTACAGCGTCACTCATTAGGCACACTTTTGGTATGAATCTTTGACAAATGTAAATATGATTACAAATTCGCTATCGAATTTCCTTTGCCCGCGGCGGTATGTAGCGTTTATATTTTTTTCGAATTTCAAGTTTTTGATGCCTCTTATACTCTTGCTACCGAGTACAATAGCTTCGTTTTGTTGTCGATATGTGATTTGAATATGAACTCAGACAACCTGAGCTATGCATTAGTTAAGCAAAGAGGCGTTTTTATTGTAGGGTTTTATTACTTATGAAATTTTAAGTGGGAGAAGATATCGTCTCTTAGTAATCTTTTTTAATAYATATATTTATATATTTTCAAAATAAATTTAAATAAAGATGTTAACAACTGGTTGTAAAACTGCTTATCAAATCAGTAATCTTCTAATAAAAATATAAATAAGCAATTGGAAAAAACTTACAGTAATCTATTCATTTAAAAAGCAAATAAAAAATGGCAAATATTTGTCTCAACTTTTTTGTTATTTTGTTAAAGGAATTTAAAAAAAATGTTATTTAAAAAGTGCACTGAACAAGAAAATTTCGCTTAATTATACAAGAATGTCATACCAAAGGTATTTCACTGATTTGTTGAAGCAATTAGCCAGAGAATACTGTAGTTTTAAAAGCAAAAAGACGGCGTGGTACAAAAATGAAAATCAACGCTAACCAGAAATCAAATAAATGCCACAAAATAAAGTCATATTTGTAAAACCAAATCAACAACAACACTAGCTATGCATATGTGTGCGTGTGTCTGTGGGTGTAAAGTAAACAAATAACACAAGCGCTATATAAAAGCGTTGAAGCGTACTGTAAATCGGCGTTGCACTGAAATGCAGAAAACCATAGAAATCAAATGAAACAAAGCTGCTGGATAAAGATTTATTTTATTTCGAATAATTATGTATTTATTGCTGCAGCGTAGCGTGCTTGCACTCAAAATGTGTAGGCGCGTTGCAAAATGTGCTTTGGAAAAAGTAACGAAATTTTTTTTATTTTCTTTTTTTGGGTTTTTAAATTTATTTAAAAATCTGATTTTGTGTGGGTACTTCTCATAGATATACTCCATGTCCAGTTCGACATCTTGTTGCTGTTGCTTTTGTAATTGCTGTTGCTGCAGCTGTTGCATTATTTTCAACTGAAATTCCAGCTGTTCCTTCTCTTTGTCCTTCTTGGTGCTCGGCGTGTTTTGGCGACGCGGACGATTCATCATCGGATCTTCCATTTGACGCGAGGCCTGCGCGCGCACTTGCGGCGGTGGACCAGGCGGTTTCTTCTTCTCCTTCTTTTTCTTCTTCTTCTGTTCGAACAGCGCCGCATTTGCGGAAGCAACAGTTGCTTCGCGTTCCATTTGTTGTTGCTTCTTCTTAGCCAAAGCAGCCGTTTGAAAATGCACCAGCGGTGAGCTGCGTCGCCGCACAGCCGCGGCATGCGCGCCAGTGCAGCGATGATCCGGTGTGCCGACACCGAAGAGACGGCGTATGCGCCGCTTGTTAATGAAGCCCAGGCCCGAGCTGAAGGTGGAGCTGGCGCCGCCTTCGCTGCCGGCGACCATTTGACTGAAGTTGCTGTCCAAATCGCACGAGCCACTGCCGCTGTTGAGCGTAACACCGCCTATGGTGCCGGCGGAGTCGGCGCCGCACGGAAATAGATATGTATTGAGTGTGCTCAGCGTGGAGGAGGTGAATTGGCGCGTCAGCTCAAAGCCGCCAAAGGCGCCGGCGGTGCTGCTACCGTTCGTGAAGTGCCAATCAAAGTTCGGCGGTCCGACGCCGGTTGTGGTGATCTGCGGCGGCGGTGGTTGGGTGTGATTCGTGTGCGCGTTCGCTGTTGGTGCTTGTGGTGGCAGAGCGACTGCGGTCGAACCGGTGGCGGTGGTGTGTTGCGAGATGCTCGTGTTGCTGGTGTTCGTATTCGAGTGCATGTTATTGTTGCTGTTGCTCCTATTCAAGTTGTTATTATGGATGCTGTTGGTGGTTGTGTTCGCGGCGTTATTGTTGTTTTGTTGCATGCGCGGTGCCGCACCGCTCGCCGTTTGCATATCGTACGAGTGCGGATTCACATATATGTGATTGTTGTTGTTATAATTGTGCTTTGCGCTGGCGTTGGTGACGCTTACGCTCAGCGTGTTTGCAGTTGTGCTACCGGTGGTGCCGCCAACAACAACAATGCCAGTGCCGCCCGTGTTGGTGTTGTTGTTGTTGTTGATATTCATATGCATATTCACCTGATTGATGTAGTGCGCGATGCTGGCGTGTTGCGCTTGTGCGGTGCCGCCGCCACCGCCACCGCCGCCAACAACTATGTTATTGTTGTTGTTATTTTGTGCGTCTTGCGTTTGCTGGTGTCGACTGCCGCGCGGTGCAATAATCGCCACAGCCGGCACGCCCAAGTGATGTTGCGATTGCTGCCGGGCAGCTGGTGGGCGCGGCGGCATAATGGGTACAATGGGCAATGGCGGCAGTTGTGGCGGCTCGCGCTCGCGTCGCAAGTGTAGCGCGGCAGCGGCGCCGAACATGTGCGGCGGAAATTGTAGATGTTCTTGTTGTTGTTGTTGTTGTTGTTGGGCCTGAGGCCGTTGTCGTTGTGGACTGTTATTGTTGCTATGCTCTCCTTGTTGTTGTTGTTGACGCTGCGGTGCAACGCTGTTGCCGTTGTTGCTGGCGGTGGATGAGCTGCCACCGCCACCTCCGCCGCAGCAATCGCAAGCACCGGCACCATGTGATCCCATGGTATAGCCGTGGAGTTTATCTTAAAATAGAGGTGTGGTGAGTTTTTATTTATTTGTTGCTGTTGGAGTGCTGTGCGTTAAAAGTTGCGCTTTGATATTTCTGTTTGTTATCACTTATTCTCAAGCAATTGTGCTGGTTTTTGAATAATTTTCAGTTGTAAGTTTGGGGTAGCATAATTGGTTATCTTTTCTAGAAATGTCTTGTTGCTGATTGCTTTCAAAAGTGGTTTTGAAACCGTTTCGAAGTTTTCTTAATATATTTCGGCGTTAAATTGAAATGTGTTTATTGCGTCGCTTATTTCTTTGTGCATTTTCAAGTTTGATATCAGAATTCACAAATTCATTACGAATTCACCACAAAGTGGTAATTAAAACGCGTATTTGTTGTTTTTACTAACTTTTTGTATAATTTTCAGGAAAAGTATCTTCACTTATTTTATCTGCTGACTTTTTGCATATATGCATATCTCAAAACAGCGTGGTTAGTTTTAAAAATGTTCAGTGTTATACTTCATGCGTATTTGTTATAGTAGTACTGGTGTTTGCAAACTTGTTATAAAGTAGCCATTTATTTTCATATTTGTGGTGAAATTTTAAAATGCCCTATGTGCATTTCTCTCGAGTGCAATTTTGTTTAAATTTGTGCACCTACGCATAGTATAAATAATGTTAACGGAGTTTTTAAAAAACAAGCATTTCTGCAGCGAGTTCTCTAAATTATGAGTTTACCACTATGCAAAATTTGTCAATTGTAATTCCGTATTTACCATTGCAATGAACTTATGTGCGAAGTCTAAATTTAAAATTTTATGTTTAAAAAACAAAGACAGTTAATTTTTTGCTATTGCGCAGAAAAGAAACTTTTTCACCACGGTGTGGTGAGTTTCTCAAAAATGCGTTTGGTTGACTTAGCATACACTACCATCACATAAATTTTAGTTTCTTTGTAAATACTTTGTTATTTTAGTTGTTATGGAGCTTTCTTGTTAAAGTATTGTTTTTTGTTTTTTTTTTTTTTTTTTTTAAATTTTTTTTTTTTTTTTTTTTTTTTTTTTTTTTTTTTTTTGTGTTTGGTTTAATGGAATGTTTACTGGCAGTTAACGTTCAGCGTGCTTATTTCACTGATATTTTTTTTTTTTTTTGGTGCTACCATTATTTCTCAGCACACAGTTATTACAATATTTATTTTTTATATTTTTTTCATACTTTATAGTATATTTGTGGGCGTATATGCGTTAAGCTTATTTTGTTGTCGTGGTGAATAAAATTTTTTTAACTTTTGTGCATATTTTATTTTAATTATGAAGCTAGTTTTGCTTTCCGAAAACATTTCTTTCGATGTACTTAACCAAAATTGCTTTGACATTTAATATTTGTATCCGTATAAGCCACTTGATATCACAGCAGTTGCGCAATTTGTTAAAAGCTAAGTGTGCATTATTATTTATAATTTATTATTGGTAATTTCTTTTTAATTTCTGTACAGTTTTATTTTAACTGTATTTATTATAGATATTTTCCTTAGCAATCAAACAACAGTGGCGGAATTTCGAAAATGTCTAGGTGTCGCGCCAACACGCTATAAACTAAGCCAATACTAAGCACTAAGCAATTGAAAAAACTTACTGTCATTTAGCATTATTGTTTATTGAAAAATATTTTTATTTTTATTTACTTAAATTTTTTTTGTTTTAAGTTTTGTAAACTTATATTTTCACACACGCACATGCATTTTTATTTGCTGAATTGCATAGCAACTGTTGCAAGGTCAGATTTTTGTAACTCCTCTTTTTCTTTGCATGTTTTTAGGCGTTGTCACATGTTGTTGCATTCGAGCCACATTATTCCATTTTTTTGTCATTTACTGGATTGCTGCATTTATCATATAAATATATAATATATATATATATATATTTTTTTTTTTCGAACATCACACAACTTTCACTTTATATGTTGCATCACGAATGCTAAATTTGCATACTTTTAGGCGCAGAAGTGATTAGCAGCTATATGTGCTTTTAGTATTATTTTGTAATTTAGATTTAAAGCATATTTTCTTTACTTTTTGGTTATATTATTTATTTAATATTCTTTCTTTAAATCACCAGCTTACAAAGCTCTTTTCGACTCACTGAAGTTTGCTATTTTTTTTTTGCTATAACTCCACTTTTCACAAAACGCTTTGCTACCACAATCGGTCATAGAATTTCAAATCTCGACGGCGCCAGCAGCGACCAGCACACATGCACACGCACGCACAGACACTTGAACGGTGAACTTTTAAATCGGTTAGTAGTGCCATCAGTGGCTGTTGAAGACACACGACATTCATCAGATTTCACGGCTACATTTGCGGCTCACAGAGTTCAACTCAGCTCCGCATAGCGTTCGGCACAGCACAGCACTCAACGCTGGTAGTTCACCGCATTCGTTTGGCAACAAACAACAAATAAATCGCATCAACTTCACTTCGCTTCGCGTAACCAGTCTGTGAGCCAATAAGCCAAGCAACCAACCAGCCAGCTAGCGAACCGTCAAACCAAACTAACTGAAGAGCTGAGCTGAGCGAATGAGCATGCATACGGCATAGTTAGGCCATTCAAGCAACAAAACACTTGTCGACGACCAACACAACAACTGCACAAAAAACGAAGAGCGCCGAGTAATTCTCATATTTCCTTTTGCTGCTTTGCAACAATTCAACTTCAACTACTTTACTTCCTTTATTCGCCAGTCTACTCCATATGGCAGCCAGACCGTGGCTTGTGGCGCTTCCGCTGCGGCGGTTGCTGTTATTTTGTTGCTCACTCGTGCGAAGGCGACGTCACAGCAGCACTGCCAGTGTTCGGGAAAGTGGTTTAAGGAGCCATAGCCGATTGTCGTAACTCGCTCTCTCTCTCTCTCTCTCTCTCTGTGCTCTTTGCAGCATGTTAACTGTCAAAGTGACAGCCAACTAAACGCGCCAGTTTATAATTCTTACTTCCACCTCCTTTTTCCTTTTTTGTTTTTGTGAATTTCATTTACTCACATCCGTACTTTGTTGTTATTCTCTTTTTCGCCATGCATTGCTTTGCGCTCACTGAATGTCACACTGCGCGCTCTCATTTCACATTTCTGTTCTCTCATCTGCAACATCTCCACGCTTCCTTTACTCCTCTACCTTCTTTGCCTGTTATTCGTTTAGTAAAACGCTCCCACGGCAACACTTTTAGGCGAAAGAGCAATCCATGGCGGAGCGTAAGCGTCCAGGCGTACAGCCTTTGGGTATAGGTTACTAGCGTAGGTTCGAGCTGTTCCTTGAGTCAGCTAGCGGAACTGTGGGGTGTGTGTTGTGAGCAAAACGTGCTAAATTCTTTTCTTCTTGTTGGTTCTTGCTCAAGTGCAGGAGGCCAACTGTCAGTCAACAGCGAAGACAAATAAAAAAATCTAAACGGCAAAAAGTAGCTAAAGAAGCTGCATAAATGGGAGACATACGCCAATTGAGCAGCACGTGCTTCCAGGCAGTACCGTTATTTTTAATACAAATTCTCACGTGTCACTTTGATTGCCACTTTTGTTTATGAACAATATTTCATCCACTACGATAACTTTTTTATTTCTTTGCCTAGACTTAGTAAAATTTTAATCTCACTTTTGAAAATCCTCTTACTTTTTAAACCCAAAAAAGTCTCCAGAGCAACCATGATCTCTCCCTCCATGCTAAGAAACCGCTTGGGTTTAGTAATCCAGAAAACTGGCGATTTATCAGAAAGATAATACGGCTGTATGACGAACTATACAATGTCGTTGACTCTGTGAAATATAGAATAAGGGGCAAGTGATAGAAAGACGAAACAAAAAAATATTAATCACCCTAGATGTGAACAATGCTCTCAACTAAGCAAAATGGGCAAACATAATCATGACATATAAGCTTCTCAATATCTTATGGAAATTATTACTAGTAATTCGAAACTCTAAAGGTACTAAGAGCTACTCTATTTCGAGTAGAGTACTGTAAGGCTCGATTCTCGAAAGGAGTGAAATTAATTGCATATGCAGACAATCATGACAAAACTGAAACATATAGAGCAGAGTAGGTGTCCACCAGTCCGTGCTTTAGAGAAGAGTTAAGAGGTCAAAAGGGTAATATGTTTTAAAGTTTTTTTTTTTCTTGTGCATTTTCTGTTCTCTTATACCCCTAAAAAACTTTACCACTGGAAGGTTTCGAAAAAGGCCCAAATATAATAATACCGCTCGACGTTCGGAGCGCTCGGAGTGCACACCTGGCACTTTAAACGCGTTTTTCTCAAACACGCACTTTTTTCAACTGGCGGATATGATTCCGGTCGAACTACTCAACCGATTTTCTTAATTTTTTTTTTTAAATTTCAGATTATTTTTTATAAGTTGTTGACAATGTTATGACAAATCCTATGTAAAAAAAACATGGGGAAAAATTTAAAAAAAAAAACGACGTTAATTACTTTTTTACTTATCAACATTTTTTCATGAATAAATTTAAGAATAAATTGGGTTTTTTATGTTTCAGATGATCTAAACATGAGAAATCGTGTCCGCCATAAAAAAATTTCGAAAAAATGTGTTTATAGACTCCACGATATACATCATGATATGTGAAAAAAGTTCTATTGTAGAATAAAAATTTCTTTGAAAAAAATGTCAAAAACACCAGCCAGATTACACTACTGACCCCTTAAATGTCTTATCACTTCCACGAAGTAAAACTTAATCAGAAGGTTCCGTGGGAGAGTCTGTAGGTTAGGTTTAGTGCATTGAAGTTCCGCACTTCGACTTTTGATGCTTCCCTCTACTTAAAAAAAAGTACACGAGTGGCACAAAGCAATCGGTGGTTCATCCACCGAACAATCCCGAACGTACCGGAATTCTATGTGGATAATATATAATTAATACCTTTGAGCATCATGCTATGCAATAGATTTTACATCTTCGTTATTTTATAAACTTTTTTCTTGAATAGAAATAGTGTATACTTACGA